GACTTCCACTACTACTACGACGACTACTACTACTACTACTACTACTACTACTACTAGTACTACAACTACTATTACGATTACTACTACTACTACCACTACTACTACAACTACCACCACTACAACTACCATCACCACTACTACGACTACTACTACTACGACTACTACTACCACTACTACTACGACTACTACTACTACTACTACTACTACTACTATTACTACTACTACTACTACTACTACTACTACGACTACTACTACTACTACTACTACTACTACCACTACACTACTACTACTACTACTACTACTACTACTACTACTACGACTACTATTACTACTACTACTACTATTACTACTACTACTACTACTACTACTACTACTACTACTACTACTACTACTACTACTACTACTACTACTACTACTACTACTAGTACTACTACTACGTCTTTTACTACTACTACAACTGCTAGGGTTGACCTTTCTCTGCTTGCGCAAGAGAGGCTCTGGGATCCTTTAGGGTTCCCTCGGGATTCTTAAGGATCGGAGGATTCCTTCGGGATTCCCGAGGATCTAAGAGTTCCCTGGTGATTCCTTAGGGGTTCCTGAAGGTGCAAGGATTCTTTTGGGATTTCTGACGGCCCAGGGATTCCCAACAAATCCCTTTGGGATTCCGGAGCATCCGGGGATTCCGTAAGGATTCCAGAGGATGCCTTAAGGATTCCTAAGGATCCGAGGACGCCTCAGGGATTACCGAGGATCCCCGAGGCATTCGAGGAGTCCTAAAACATTCCTGCGGAGCCACGAGGGTCCCCAAGGGATTCCGGAGGACCCGAGGACTGCTGAGGTGTTCTGGAGGATCCGAGGATTCCGTAGAGATTCTTGAAGATCCACAAGGAGTCCTTAGGGATTCTTGGGGATTCGAGAGCTCCGTAAGGATTATCAAGGCGTCCTGAGGGAGTCCAGAGGATTCACAAGGATGCCCGAGGGACTCCTCAGGATCCGAGGATGCCTCAGGGATTCTTGCAGATTTGGGGATTCCATCGGGATTGTTTTTGGATTTTTGATGATCCGAAGATTCGCTCGAGATTCTTGAGGATCCGAAGATTCGCTTGGGATTCTTGGGGGCCCAAAGATTTCCCAGGAATTCCTGAGGATCCGAAGATTCCATACGGATCCTTGAGTCTCCGAGGCTTCCTGTGGGATTCCTGAAAATCCACGTGGGTTCCAGGGGGATTCCTGAGAGTCATAGGATTCCCTCTGGATTCCTAAGGGTCCGAAGACGCCCTCGGGTCAGAGGAGTCCCTAGGGATTCCTGAGGACTTAGAGAATCCTGGGGACCAGGCTGTTCCATGGCAGTCGTATTGTTGTTACATGGCACTCGTATGCCTTTACCATGATAATCGCATGGCTGTCTTATAGTAATCGTACGGCTGTCTCATGGTAGTCGTACGGCATTCCAGCGGTACACGGTAAACGCTCGGCTGTCGTATGTTGTTCGGGTTTCCCCATGGCAATCGTATGGTTTTCCTACGGTACTCGTATGGCTTTTGAATGGTGATCGTATAGCGTTTCTATGGCAGTCGTTTGGCTATCCGATGGTAAACGCATGCTTGTATTCTGTTAATTATATGGCTGGCCTGTGGTAATCGTGTGGCTTGCCTATGGTAAACGCTTGGTTGTCGTATGGGCATCGCATGGTTGTCCGATGATAATCGTATGGGGTTATTATGGTAATCGTATGGCGTTTCTATGATAATCGTAAAAGTTGCCCATGGCATTGGTACAGTTTGTCTTTACCACATGGCTGTCTTATTGTAGTCGTACGGATTTCTCACGATCACCGCACGGTTTTCTTATGATAATCGTATGGTTGTCCTACGGTGATCGTATGGTTTGTCCATGGTAACTCTTTAGCGTTTCTATGGCACCCGTATAGTTTTCCACGGTAACCGTATGATTTTCCGATGGTAATCGTATGGCTGTGTTGTGGTAATCGTCTGGCTTTCTTGTGGCAATCGTATGGTAATCGTATGGCTTGCCAGTGGTAGCCGCATGGCGTTTCTATGGCACCTGGATCAGTTCCTGCTGGTTATCGTATTGTTGTCCTGTGGTATTCGTTTGGGTTTCGTATGGTAAACGCATTGCTGTCTTACGGTAATCGTATGGCTGTCCTGTGGTACTCGTGTAGCTTTCCGATGGTCCTCGCATTGTTTTCCGATGGTAAAAGTATGTTTTCGCATTGTGCTAGTGTTGTTTTCTTTGGATCGCCGTATGGTTTTCCTATGGTAATCGTGATGGTTGCCCCTGGAAATCATATGGTTGGTAATCGTATGGCTGTCCTGTGGTGATCGTGTGTTTGTCTTATGGCAATCGTGCGGCTTTCGAATGGTAATCGCATGGCTTTCCTATGAGAATCGTGTGGTGGTCCTCTGGTAATCGTGTGTGTTTCTTATGATGCTCGTATGGTTGCCTATAATGATCGTAGGATTTTCCGATGATAACCGTA